TATTAGGGATGTTTAGCTAGAACAGGACATAAGGATTTAGCGTTAGTGGAGGATTTTAGAAATAGTAATTGAAAGGCAGGTATTTGGTTATGTATTACATTTTGGTATATTTTATGATGAAGGACGTTTAAACAATTATAGTCAAATGAAAGTGGAGATATGATGATGGTGACATGTATGAATATTTGAGTTAAAATACTTAAGTTACCGTAATATGAATTATGTTTGTTTACTGTGGAACGAAAGTCTTTTTGTAACCAACTGATACACTTTCTATAGCATATAAAGAAGGATGCTGTATTTGTTTTAAATTAGAAATTTAAAAAAATATATTTTAAAAAAATGTCCCACAAGATGTATCCAGATTTTTGGATGTCTCCCCACGTCTTCCTTGGTTGGTTGAGGAAGGGAGCATTGCATTGAAAGAGAAGAAAGTCGGGGAGGGGGGCGGATCTATTCCTAGAGCAAACATCTGGAATTTCCACAGGACAAGAACATCTGGCTCTCCCTCATTGACATGCTGCGCAAGAAGGACCAGCTGCCAGTGGTGGCCTTCACATTCTCTCGCAATCGCTGCGATGAAAACGCCTCCATGCTCACCACCATCGACCTGACCACCGCGACGGAGAAAAGCGAGATCCACGTCTTCTTCCAGAAGTGCATCTCACGACTGAAGGGCACCGATCGGCAGCTGCCTCAGGTGAGGGAAAAAGAAAAGGGTTGGGGGGGAGGGGGGTTTGTCACCTTGGTAGCATAGCCAGAATGGGAACTGAGCCTCAGGACCTCGGTGGCTGCCAAGAGGAAGAGGAACGGAAGTCAAGGGGCGGTAACGGTGGAGGATCATACTGGAAGCGCTTGACGGATTAATAGCAGATCCCACCCTCACCCTCTACACGTCCCGTTTCCTCCCTCCCCGTCTTTATACCATCTTTTTAACATAATTTTAATCACATCTTTGCTACTGCACTAGATTTATATATGTATGTATATATAGCTTTATTGCTTCTAGCCTTGTAAGCTGCCCAGAATTGCCTTGCAGCCGAGATGGGTGGCAAACAAATTTGGATAGACGGATAGAGTAGGGTGGGATGGCATGGCATGGCATAGCATAGCATAGGGAGATATATTAAATGGTTGGATCTATGGATCGAAGGATAAGATAGGATAGATAAGATAGGAATGGATGGAGGGAGGGAGGGAGGGAGGGTACAGCACTACAGGCTACTTCAGCTGACTGCTAGCTGCAGTTCGGCAGTTCAAATCTCACAGGTTTCAAGGTTGACTCAGCCTTCCATCCTTCTGAGGTGGGTAAAATGAGGACCCAGATGGTTGGGGGCAATAGGCTGACTCTGTAAACTGCTTAGAGAGGATTTTAAAGCACTGTGAAGCCGTATATGTCTAAGTGCAGAGGTGGGTTCCTACCAGTTCGCACCTATTCGGTAGAACTGGTTCGTCAAATCTACCGAACCAGTTAGAAGAGGTTCCACCA